AAATAATTGATAATATATGAGTCGAAAGCTACATAACTTTCGCGCATATGATACCAACGTCGAGATTAGACTCGGACATCGCGCCGTTGACGAGTAGATCATAGGATTTCAGCAAGGACGGCGCGAGATGATATATTGCTTCTCAAAATAACGAAACTTCAAACGCGCCGAACGCACAGATTCGTCGGTGTTTCCCACACATAAAAAATAAAGTTTCCAAATAAAGAAGAGCGCTAGACATAATATATATTCGAATTTACGTGATATATTTTTGTTGATTAATCTAAGGGAAAAAAAAAACAAAGAAATTAAGAGAACGCTACGAGATCCAGTTATCGACTCAAAGGCAGCTTTTTTTTTTGGAGAAGCCGTGAAAATATCTGTAGCACCACATCTCACGGTTTGTCGTTAGTAATGACGCGTCTAAACCGAAACTTGTTTACGCGATGCGCTCGCTCGGCGTGATTCATTCCTCGGAACGATCATTCAGGGTGAAGCGTGCAAATCGCCGCATACCTCGCGTACGCTTGTCGGCTTAAAGCGTTAAGGCGGATAAGCAGCCGCGACGAAAACGTCCCGGGATTTCGCGCGAGACGGTGAGACGGACAGATACGTCGGACTGTCACGCGCGGCACGCGGCATGACTAATTAATCCCGAGCCCTACAAAGGGCTATTTCGGTCGATCGGCCGAGCGATCGATTTAAGGACGTCGGCTAGCTGCGATGTTTGCGAGCGTTCCGTCGCGAATCGCCGGGAAAAGCCGGCCAGGGCGATCTCAATCGCGTCTCCGCGAGCGCTGCAGCCGGTCGATCCACCTCGTAGGTAAATTTATCTCATTAATTGCGTCGCGATCGACCAATCGACGGGTCCGCGCCGCGCCATTGGTCCGTCCCGCGACGTGTGCCGGTAACGGTAGGTGAATGGTACCGTAAGGCCGATCTGTCCGGTTCGCGATGTCGATAATCGGCTTTTTGATCGGATCGTCGGCAGTTTCATCAAGGACGAGCCGACGCTTCGGTGTTGTGACGTGCTTTCGCAACTTTCTTTCGATTGCCGCGAGGAGCAGAGAGCGGCGGAATTTTTTTTATAATATTTTTAACATCCGCGAGAAAGATAAAAGTTAAAAACGTGAACGATAAATGCTAGTAATAAACACAACAGGTAAGTGCACTTATCGGACGTGATAACTGATTTCCTCGTTTTCCGGTTGATGTAACAGATTATCGGGGGAAAAATACCGTCAACAATCACATGCCTCGGAACATCTGACAAGATTAGTAACCTCGCGGATATGGCAAATAACGCACGCTTAAGAAACGCAAGAACCTTGCAGATAAGCTTGGAAAAAATCGCCAGCTGATATCCGTGATAGGCGATCGATAGGGGACCATGCCGCACTTTCCTCGATAACACAAACACGAATATACATCTTCGATTTTGCGTCCGTCTCCGCGAATTTCCGAGAAGCTTTATCAGACAAGCTGTTATGGAGCATTCCGCAGATAAAAGACAGCCGCTTCCCTTCTCTTCGAACTTTCTTCGTCCTCCCGGCAGGACGCGGCGCCCACGTGGGCGTCGCGAAAGAATACAGGTGCGAACGTCTCTATTAAACCTTCCGTTGCTTAGCCACACGTGGGATCGCGAATATTCCCTCGGAGAGAAACAGCGAGGAGGCGCATACCGACGACGTGGGCTTGACGCGCGTCTCCATCGACGTCGCGTTTATCATCGCGTCCGCAAGATTGATGTTCCTTTCGAGCGACAGACGTTTCGAAGCATCGACGGCGCGAAGCGAATAATGGTTGTGCGAGCGACGCTAACGAGAATTTCCATCGGCTACTTTGGGGGCGAATATTCTCGACGTATTGTCAGGCCGCCTCTCGCGTGCATCTCTCACAAAGCGTGATCGCGCTTCGCGCCCAAACAGCGCCGGCCGAAAATAGTCATTATTTGTACGACGACAGTCGACGAACGCGCGGAGTCCCTTTCCC